TCACACTGTTGCTTTCCATGCTGTTGCTTTACACACATGATTGCAACTGCCTGAATCCTTTGACTACCAGCAGCCATAGGGATAGGAACAGGACAGTCCTGGATACACTACCAAAGGAACCAAGGTGAAGGCTGAAAAGAATCCATTTAGTTTATACTTAAGTATCATATGACTCAAAATAAATTATGAATAAATAAATCGTCCGAATAGAAGCCCCAAGACATTCTGAGAAGGAATATTCATTGGTTTTGGGGAGATAATTTATGAAGTAGGTCCCAGATTAGTGTCAACAGAAAAAGATTTCAGTACAGCAACAAGCTGGAAAAAAAAAAGCTAACAAATGACAAACAGAATAATGTGTTCAGGAAGTAGTAGGGTGAGTCAACATTAGGGTTCAAATAGACTGGATGTGGAGGGGCAGGGAGAAAAAAAAACATGTATCAATACTGGCAGTTGTTAGCAAGTGCTGGTGGCTTACACCTGTTATCCTAGCTACTCAGGAGGTTGAGATCTGAGGATCACAGTTCAAAGCCAGTCCAAGCAAGAAATTTAGACTTCTATCTCCAATTAACGAGCAAAAAAGCCCAAGGTGGAGCTAAGGCTCAACAGCACACACACACACACACACACACACACACACACACGCATGCGCGCATGCAAGCGCGCGTGCGCACACGCGCGCGCAGAATAACAGCAGTGGTAAGAAGTATGACCAGGAAGAAGTACTTAAGATTGGAGGCCTGTATTCCAAGTTTAGTACTATCTGAGCTCTAAAGGTCAACATATGGTTTGGATTCTAAAAATCAGAAGGTAACTGTAGGAAGCTATCACATTATGGGTATTAGGTTGAAGGAAGGTTATATTAAAGAAAGAAGTGACTGAAGATAGGAAGGCCTACTGAAAAGCTAGTTGCAAAAAATGCCAAGTAGTCCTGAACAAAGCCAGTGACAATAATAATGAATCTTACTAAAGTACTTCTTTGATCAGCTTGTCCATTACTCAAAAATAACTCCTCAATCTCATACTAGGCATATAAAGCCTTCCTACAACTTGGCTGAAATATCTGTGTAATCCCAATGTGTCTCTGTGTACATTCAAGACTACACAAATTACGCAGATTGTTTATATTGTCCCAATACTGATTGTTTTCTCTAAATGCAATTATGAGCTGTATAATGTCTTGATGGACCAAATATAAAATGGTGGACCCATACTACTGAAGTGGAATTGAATAATTCCTATTACATAGTGACAATGAAGCCACTGTAATATCATAATGCATTCTCAAGTATGTGTGTGGCGACATGGGTAAATAAAACATTTGTGCTACCTAGCATATAAAAATATAACACACAGAATTATATCTAGTACATAATACTTAGAAATGATAATAAATGGCTATTAGAGCTTAGCATAGTAAGTTATTATATAGCAGATTCACACATTTCCTGCTTATTTCATCTCTTGATTATATCAAGAGGTCATGATAAGTGACTTGATCTAAAACACGCACTATGTTTCTATAAGTTCAGTCCATATTTGCACAATGAAATCACCTAATAACACATTTATCAGGATATATCTCCTCTGGTAAGTAACGTGTAAGTGGACATAAATTTTTTTGCATACATATTATTACCTCTGTCTATAATACCCCTGGTCCCTTCTACCGAACACTCAATTCAGTTATCTCAATTTATTTCTCTCTGAACACGTATTGAATTTTATTTGCATCTTCATTTTTTTTCAACATGTTTTATATCCCCATTTATATTGTTTCTTTTTTTTTTTTTGTCAGTCATGGGACTTGAACTCTGGGCTTGGGCGCTGTCCTTGTGCTCTTCAGCTCAAGGCAAGTGCTCTACCGCTTGACCCACAGCGCCACTTCCGGTTTTCTAGTGGTTTATTGGAGATAAGAGTCTAAGACTTTCCTGCCCAGGCTGGCTTTGAACTGTGATCCTCAGATCTCAGCCTCCTGAGTAGCTAGGATTACAGGCATGAGCCACCAGCCCCCGGCAAGTTTCTTGTTTTATATCTTGTTATTAAGTTATCCCAAGTATGTACAGCTGGTAGGTTTCTGTTATGGACTGAACTATGTGTCATGATGTTCACACTGAAACTCCTAATCCCCTGAAGACAGGGCCTTTAAAGCCATGATGGCATACGCCTATAGTTCCAGCTACAGGAGAGGTTAAGAAAGGTAGAGAGCTTTGAGCCCACTAGTTTTGGGTCAGCCTAGCTAACATAGAAGATCCCATCTCTTAAAAACATATGAAATGAAAGTCATAAGTGATATCTTTATAAGAAGAGAAGCATGACAATAGCTAGGATATGGAAACAACCCAGATGCCCCACCACAGATGAATGGATCCAAAAATTGTGGTATCTATAAACAATGGAATATTATGCAGCCATTAGAAATGACAAAATAATGGCATTTGCAGGGAAATGGATGGAGCTAGAAGGAATCATGTTGAGCGAGGTAAGCCAAGAGCAAAGAGACAAACGGTACATGGTCTCCCTGATAAGTGTATGCTAAATCCAAAATGTTAGGTGATAGGACAAAATTAACAGGACTTAAGAAACAAAGAACTCCCACTCATCTGGTCGAACCACTACTAAATATCCCCATGCTGCTGATCACATGTATGGTGTATATGTGTACACCGTTATATGTTATAGACTGTGATAGACAATTTGCTCCAGGAAAGTTAGAATGAACTTGTGACTTTAAATGAGCATCATTATTCCACAATACTGTGAAATTTGGGAAATTATGTAATCACTTAATCACAATTAAAAAAAAAGAACCTCGGGGAAGGTAGGGTGGGAAGGGATGGTAGGGGGAAAATAATGGAGGGGTTAACAATGCTCAATAGGAAGTGTACTCATTACCTTGCTCATGTAACTGTAGCCCTCTGTATAGTATCTTCACAATAAAAAATTAAAAACAAAAAAGAAGAGAAGCATGGGACTGGGAAGGTGGCTCAGTGGTAGAGAGCTTGCCTTGCATGCCTGAGGCCCTGGGTTTGATTCCTCAGCACCACATAAGCAAAAAAAGAAAAAAGCCAGAAGTGGCGCTGTGGCTCAAGTGGTAGAGCGCTAGCCTTGAATGAGAAAACTAAGGAACAGTGCCTAGGCCCTGATTTCAAGCTGCAGTACTGGTACAAAAACAGAAGGAAAAAGAAGAGACACCAAAGGTCCCTCTCCAACTGTGCACAAGTGTAGGAAGTTATATGAAAATATAGTGAGAAAGTGACCATCTGCAGGTCAAGAGAGGCCTTAATAAAACCCAAGAGAGGCCTTAACAAAATCCAACACTGATAGTACCTTGAGCTTGGACTAATAGCCTCAGAGAAACTAAATTTCTGCTTTTAAGCCATTGAGTCTGTGTCGTGTTGTTATGGAAGCCTCAGTAGAAATACAATGCCTAATAAGTTGAATGAATATTAAAATGGAACTTAAGACATCCATTTTTGGATTCTTTGGCTATTGTTACTCACTTCTATGAGCTACTTAACTCAAGTAATGTCATGTGATAAGGCAAGGCTACCAATGGGCTGGTAAAACTCAAATATTTAATACACTTCAAATTGTAAGAAATTTATTTTATCCTACTTAACATTTCCAGACCCAAGATTTTTGCTGTCCTGTTGAGGGTTAAACCTTGAACCTCACCAATGAGGCAAGTGCTCTACCACTCAACTCTATACCCAGTAAACATTTCCACAAGTATGTGCATTTACCTAGCATTGTTATCACATTAAACTTGGCTGTTCAGATGACTCTTGTCTAAGAATTAGCTCAAGTGAAGAGGGCACAACCACACATAAATTTCTTTGGTCCAATGTCCATTTATGAAGTCAGTCTGCTTATGTTATCTTAGAGAATACCAATACAAACTATTCAAATGGATGGAAGCAGCAAAGAAAATTCTTACTCTAGGTTTACCATTTTTTTCTTTTTTTTTTTTTTTTTTGGGGGGGGGGAGGGGGTCCGGTCGTGGGGCCTGAACTCTGGGCCTGGGCGCTGTCCCTCAGCTCTTCAGCTCAAGGCTAGTGCTCTACCACTTGAGCCACAGAGCCACTTCCGGCTTTTTTCTTTTTGCTTATGTGGTGCTGAGGAATCGAACTCAGGGCCTCAGGCATGCAAGGCAAGCACTCTACCACTGAGCCACCTTCCCAGCCCCCCATTTTTCTTTTCTGACACTAGATAGGTCAATGACATGTAAACATATTTTTCAGTAACTTTAAATATATGTATTTTTTTAATGATTTTAAAATTGAACTCTAAACAGCAGGACACATCCGCATTGGAACAAATAACTTTCATAGCGACTCAATCAAATTTAGATCTTTGTTCTTGAATTCACAAGTGATTAATAAGAACTAGACCTCAGATGTCAGAATATTAAACAGAAAAGCGTATAGAGGCTTTTTCTTAAACATTACGCATTTTTCTCCCCTTGGAGAGTTTAGGCAGGCAATAAATAGCACCAAAACAGATAGTGCAGCATTAATTCTCACAAGGGTACAAACGTTCCGTATATGCAAAACAGTAAATTTGGGCCAATTATTTTTATCCTCTTGTGTCAATTCAACGAGTTCTTTCACTTTCTCCTTTCTCACCAAACCTGCAGGCTTAAAAGGAGGTTAATGGCAGAGGCTGAAAGCTTGAGTTCAGAGAACCCAGAGCATTACCACCGCTACTCGGACTCTGAGCTCGGCTCCACTAACCGCGGAAAGGCTGAACAGTTTCCAGGCGAAGGCCCGGGCGGCACGGGAGGGCCACCAGCGCCCCGCCGCCCCACCCCGCGGGTGGCCTGGCTACCCAGGGCCAGCCCCGCGCCCCCCATGACCTCCAGGGGCGGGAAGACAAACAGCCTCGGAACGCCGGCTTTTCCCCACACGAGCTTATACTCCCTCCCAAGACAGAGCCCGGAAGAGGATCTGAAGCGCTAACGGTAGGAAAAGTTTGCCACCCGAGGAAAATCCTGTCACCTGGAACTCCGCGAACTCCTCACAGTTCACACCGCCACTGGGCGCCGCCATATTGGACAAACGTGAGGACCCCGCTGCAGGCCAATCACCGAGGAGCAGAGGTGCCCGCGGCGCCGCCTGATCAAAAAAAAAAGAAAGAAAGAAAAGAAAGAGAACACAGGTAAACCTGGAGTAACCACTGCCCTGGCCGCCTCCTACCCATTTCGAGCCCAGTAGTCGTGCTGACTATTCATTCACTCCAACCCCGTTAACAAGACTGAAGTGGCCAAGATGGGATCGTTTACTCCAGTGCCCATCTTCTTACAGAGGGGACACGGTGCACTCCAACCCTGGTTATTAGAAAGGGAATCCTAAGAAACGGAGCCTTTTCTAATCCTTCCTATCCAGTCAGTGTCCACCTTTTGTCCAGAGAGGCATCTGGGATTTGAGATGCTTAAAATAACCCGGGCATTTCTGGCAGCGTCGGTGGACACATTTCCTATTTTAAAGAGTCAGTTTCTCATATTGGCCCGAGAGAAGTTCCAAAGGCCACAAGACCTGGAGCCAGCGGGGAGCAGCGGGCGGTGCCTGTATTCGTTGGGCACATGGGGAAGCAGTTGGCGGAGAGGCTGGCCTATCTGGATAGTGTATGTAGGGAGTGGACAGCTCAGAAACGTGTCACGATTTTCCTCTTTAATGCTTTTCTTCTGTTTGAAGGCAAAAGCTCCCGATATCCAACTCGACGGGGGCACGCCCAAAGCGCTGCACACCCGGGCTCAGCGCCCACACAGGGCCGGGGCTGGGCCGGTGGCCCGCGTCTTCAGAGCGTCCCGCACGTCCCACACGTCCCGCGCGTCCCCCGCGCGTCACTCACACCCTATTGGCTCCGCCCTTTGCCCCGCCCTCCGGCGCCGCCCGCAGCCTCCCCAGCCCCGGCCGGGTGACATTGAGTGCGCTGGCGCCACCGCACTGCGCGAGGTTCGGTGCGGACGGCGGAGGAGCAGGCGGCCATGGGGAGCTGGCGTGGCCTGCGACTGGCGGCGGGTGAGATGCAGGGCGGGCTGCGGGAGGGAAGGCCACCAGCGCGGCCGCTGGGGAGAGGGAGAAACCCGCGGTCCTCCAGACTCGGGAGTTGCTCTGCCTCCCCGTGCATCCCCTCCAGAGGACTCGGAATCTCACCCACTTCATGGAAGTGAGGGCAAAGCCAAGGCCGATCGAGCAGCTGCTGGCATGATCCTCGCACCTGCCTCTCCATCCACCTCCTCTCACCCACTTAAGGGACCCTTGAAGTCTCACTTCTGTTCCTCCTGGTCTACAGACACCTCCCCCACACCCGCCCCCTTCCCCAGCTCAGTCCTTAGAACACCTGTTATTCTAGAACTTCCTCCTCACCTTTCTCACCCGTTACTCTACTCTTTCCCCCCACTTCTCAATAATTCACTCTTGTGTAGAGAATCTGGGGTTTAACGTCTCACGAAATACTAGGGATCGTTGCCCTAAGATATGGGACTATTACTTATAAGCAATCTGCAAGTCAGTGCTTTGAATTTCTTGGAAGAAAGCCTGATGGAAATGCAGGATCCATACCTTGTTTTCGAAGTAGGGGTTGTTTGTGGGGTAGGTATTTTAGGATTGGCTTCTTCTCTGAGAAACTAGCAGAATCTTGGCACCGCAGGGATTAAAAACTAAAAAGAGTATTTGCATCCGGACTTTTTGTGGATGTCAGGACAATTTGCTCTTTCGGCTACCATTCTGAGTTTTGTTGAGCTGTGATGATCTTTTGTTCCTTGGTATCAAATTATTAAAAAGTCATTTTTGAAGGAAGAATAGCTCTAAACTTGGCTACTGAAATAATGCAAATGTATGTTGCAAATGTAAATGAAGCAATGCAAAAAAAAAAAGTGAATGTAGAATTTTGATATATAGCCCCCCTAAAAAAGTTATACTTTGTGTCACAGTGGAAAATACACTGGGAGACATGTCTGAACTGCAGAGGGTTAACCAGTTTATAGGTAAACCCCTGCATTAAAAAGAATAGTAAAGAGCTGGGAAGGTGGCTCAGTGGTAGAGCGCTTGCCTTGCATGCCTGAGGCCCTGGGTTCGATTCCTCAGCACCACATAAGCAAAAAGAAAAAAGCCGCAAGTGGTGCTGTGGCTCAAGTGGTAGAGCGCTGAGCTAAAGAGCTGAGGGACAGCACCCGGGCCCATAGTTCAGGCCCCACAACCGGACCCCCCCCCCAAAAAAAAGAATAGTAAAGCCCTGTTAAAATTGTTGATTCATTTGATTTTATCTTTTCTGTACATTGTTATTAGGTGTAAGCTTTTCAGTAGAGTAAGTGAAGGAACCATTGCTTTGTAAAAAATAAAGAACTTCTAAGAGCAACTTTGTCTACTTGGAATTAAGACTGAAGGAGCTGATAGTCTTTCCTACTTACTCTTCTTACCTCAGGCATCACAAATTCCAAAGCCTCTCTTCTTAAGCTTTCCGGGGTGTTTTACAACTTTACTATCAAGCACATAAACAAGTGAAAAAAAAAAAACCCATGGGCTGGGAAGGTGGCTCAGTGGTAGAGCACTTGCCCTGCATGCATGAGACCATGGATTAGATTCCTCAGCACCACATAAGGAAAAAGAAAAAAGCCAGAAGTGGTGCTGTGGCTCAAATGGTAGAGCGCTAGCCTTGAACTGAAGAGCTGAGGGACAGCACCAAGGCCCAGAGTTCAGATCCCACAGCCAGACCCAAGAAACAAAAACAAAAAAACAAAAAGCTGTATAATTTAAGAACAATTTATTTCAGGTAGAAAATATTAAATAGCACATTAAGGATGTTATATAAACAACTATGGTTTGTATTTTTGTTTGTTTTTTGGAACTTAAGGCTTAATATTAAGCAAATACTCTACTACTTGAGCCATGACTCCCACCCTTTTTGCTACTGTTTTAGAGAGAGGGTCTCTATTTGTACAGATTCTCCTATTTATACTTCCTGCTGTAGGGAGAATGACAGGCACAATCCACCACGTCCAGCTTATTTTGTTAAAGATGTGGGACTCAAGAGCGTGTGTGTGTGTGTGTGTGTGTGTGTGTGTGTGTGTGTGTGTGTGTGTGTGTGTGTGGACTCAAGAGCGTGTGTGTGTGTGTGTGTGTGTGTGTGTGTGTGTGTGTGTATTGGCTCAAATGGAATGTAATCTTTCTGATCTTAACCTCTCAAGTAGTTAAGATTACAGGTATGAGCTTCTGTGACTATTTTAGCAACTCTTTCCAAATGATTTGTGAATATCTTATGTTTCGTGAGCAACTTCAAATGATTTGTCTTACCTTTTCCTATTTCACAGCTAAATACTTTCACATATTTATTTGATTGATTTCTTACAGCAGCTTTCTCAAGTAAGTCTTATCATCCCCTCTCCTTTTTATGAATGAAGAAATGTATGTCAAAGGGTTAAGTGATTTGTTCAAGACCACTTTGCCAGAAAATGTAAGAGCCGGGAATGGAGGTGGTGCCTGTCTTCTATGTCTGAAATTTGTGTTCTTTGCTATTGTTGAAGCTGCTCATTGGGATATTTGCCCAATTGAATCTCCTAATTGTGAATTTGAAGGGCCAAAAAATGAAGATTTATTTTGGAAATGGGAGTGTATGTACTTATATGTAAATAGTTTTCAAGGAAGAAGACTGATTTGATAAGTAAACTCAACCAAAGGAATGATACATCAAATAGAAACATCATCTAGGCATACTTTACTTACTTAAAGTATTATTTGCAATTAGGTATTCTAGGTGATTAAGATTTCAGATACCAAAATTTAATCATTTGAGCAGGGTGCCTATACTTTTAATTACTTCCACTGGAAATATTGCTGTACTCCCTTAGCAAATAAAATGTAGGGTTTTATGAGTTTGAATTTTTTTTATTGTTTTGTTGATGTAGATATAGATCTAAGGTTATTAACTTGCAGTGCTTGGACTTCACAGATGAGTGGTCTTGTGAAACTCTGAAAGTATATTCAGATTCTAATGATTATATACTGGTTTTATGAAGAGAGAGAATCCATAGTTTACATCTGTTACTCAGAGAAAGGCATACAGATGTTTAGAAACTTAATACCGACTGATACATGTGGATTGTATGAGGGTAAAGACTGGATTTGTTTTTACTAAACCCTCAGCACTCTAGTTTATAGTAGGTAGACAAAAAAAAAATTTTCTTAATGGTAGAAGACTAAGCAGTTAAAAGTTGAGCATTCAACACTTCCTTTCTTCTAAAAGTAGAAAAAAAATTAAAAAAATAAAAGAATAAAATAAAGCAATGAAATCTTCCCACCATAAAACTAGTGTAAACTGATTTTTTTTTCTGGTCATGGGACTTGAACTCTGGGCTTGGGCGCTGTCCCTCAGCTCTTAAGCACTTGAGCCACAGTGCTACTTCCGGTTTTCTGGTGGTTTATTGGAAATAAGAGATGCCAGGGCTGGCTTAGGACTACAATCCTCAGATCTCAGCCCCCTAAGTAACTATGATAACAGGCGAGAGTAAACTGATTTTTTTTTTAAAGTCATACTCCAGCCAGGCTCACTCCTGTAATCCTAGTTACTCAGGAAGCTGAGTCTGAGCATCTCAGTTCAAAACCAGTCCAGGCATAAAAGTCCATGAGACTCTTTATATACAATAAAGCCAGCTGGGTGACAGTGGCTCACACATATAATCCAAGCTACTCAGGAGGCTGAGATCTGAGGATTGAGGTTTGAAGCCAGCAGGGGCAGAAAAGTCCCCCATGATATTCTTATCTCCAATTAGCCACTCAAAAACCAGAAGTGGCACTGTGGCTCAAGTGGTAGAGCACTAGCCTTGAGTAAAAAGAACATTAAGAACAGTGGCCTGGCCCTGAATTCAAGCCCCAGGAATGGCATCAAAAAAATGCCATAGTCCAGTCCTTTAATTTTTGCCTAGGAAATTTAAGACTTAAGAAGGGAATTGACTTATAAAGAAGGATCATATAGTTACAAAGCTGGCATATAACATATATCCTAGCTATCATTCTCATTTTATTTCTACCACATTCTAAACCCTTCATTGTTTTTTTTTTTTTGTTCTCACGAACTAATCCTGAGATCATGCCCATTTAGTCACTCCCATATTTGACTTTG